ACGCTGCGCCTGGGCTGGGACTGGTCCCGCTGGTGCAGGGTAGCAGGAAACTCTCTGCACACTCACCGGACCTGGGCTAGGACTGGGTCTCTATAGTTTACTTTTGAAAATTGGTGTTGCCTAACTTATTATTCTTTTTAGTTACTGTCTCAATGACTCTTCTCTAATTGTGGGGACAAAATACCCAACACTCACAAATAAGGAAGGAAAGGTGTATTTAGCTCAGAGGTAGTGGAGATTTTAGTCCATACTTAGTTGTCTTCAAGACACAGGGATACAATTGCAGAGAGCAGCCATCCATGCCTGCAGAAAATAGGAAAGAACAAAGGCAAGGAGCAGCATCTGTGACAGCTACATGGTGGCTTTCCCCTGCTTATGTTGTAATTCAGATTACGTGGCCCAGGGTGGGTGCAGTACCCATACCCTGAATAATCAATCACAAACTCCAAAAGCTGCCCTATGATTGCATGAGGCTTTGGTGGCTCAACTAGACACAAACCATAACAGTTATCATTATAATTTTTGTTGATCATGTAATGTATTCGCCACTTCCATGGGGAAAATGTCTCCACTGTTTGGTTTAATTCACAAGCTTCCTTATTTTAACCTTAGGTGTAGGTCTGTTCTGTGTCTCAAAATAATATTTTTATATAATTTAAATCAGGGACTACAAATTTGTTCTCATTTAAAGATATGTAGTTCTTATTTCATTACTAATTCAATGATTTTTTGGGGTTAAAATATAAAACACTGTTTTTATAGTTTAGGAAAAGTTATTTTACAACAAAGTGCATAATAGATACACTTAATAGATAGAACTTTAAACATACTGTGACAACTTCTGTGAACACAAGATTTTTGGGAGACATCCTAACATGACTGAGAAAGTGGCAAACACGTAGAATATGAAATAAAATACAGACTACTAAGACTGTGAAGCCAGGGAATTTAGAACAGGCAGAGTTAGATGAGCCACATTGAAGAAGACAGTGTCACAGAAGAGCTCTCCTTTGTGCATGATGTCATGCTACATGGCAGAGGATGAGGGACTGAGTTTATTTGCAGTTTAAGTGAATTCTTTCTTCAAATGGAGTTAAAAGGAAAATGAAGTTTCTTAGGCCTTATAAATTTCCAAAAAGTTTTAAATGTAAATGTATTCAATTTGTAGTATTGTTTTGAATCTATATACTGTATTTATATACCAAAGGACTTTATTTTTATATTGTTGGACACGGACTTAGAAAATGTTTGGGAATATATTAAGTGTAACTTCTTGCTGTGTCTCAGTTTCATTGAGAGAATGGCCACACTTAGCCTTTCGCTCCAGCAAACAGCAGTCAGAGGGGCTGGTGTTCATCACTATAGCCCTAGACTCTGCCCTTAGCACCAAGGTTCACTTGCTTAGTACAGGATTTTTCATTTGCCAAAATGTAATTCAAAGAGTCAACTGGTAGCCTAGGCTGTACAAAATTATTCACAATACCACGTGCCTTGTAGCTGTTAATGTAACATGTGTAGAGTATCTAAAGTGGCAATTGTACACCTACAGAGTGTTTAATTGCAGAATTGCATCTAAATTCAAACCATGTATCATAGAATTATCTGCAACTTTGAAAGGACTGAAAACCCACTAGTTTGAATGATATGAAGATTCTTTGAAAAAGGGCCCTTTCCTATTATCTATCCTCTATTTTGTGTTTCTATTATGTACACATATTAACTTCCTATGATAAATCTAATCATTATGGAATACAAATACATATTAATAAAAAGACATTAATAAAATAAAGTAAGAAGGGTAAGAAAAATACCATTTTGAATGGTATAAAGATATATGAATATCACTTTGCAAATAACATATAAAATATGTGCAAATACTCAAAATATGAAAACCTGCAAAGTCTGAACATTTTATATCCCAAGCATTTCTGACAGAATGCACAACCTCTAAAAGTTCTACAGTTATAAGCAGAGGAAGAACATTTTGGAAAACATCTCTCAGCCTTGGTAAGAATCAGTGATTAGGTGTGTCATGTGTACTAATATTACAGTATTATCACGTGAGGAAAAGGAACCAAAAATTGCCATGTTGGCTCAAACTGGATGGCTACATGTTGGCGTCATGTATGAACTATTTTCTTTGAAGAAACTGAGTGGACTCTACACTTTCAATGCCATTTAGAAATAGCTCACAAAGTCATTACTCTAAGAATACCAAGCAGACCTCAGGATATGTGGAACATGAGGCAGTTGATAAAATTCAACCACTTGATTAAGCCCATGTTTACTAATTACTTAGGGCCTAGTGGGTACTTGTTCTGGCCCTTTGGCTGAAACTAAGTTTGGTTAGTAAAATGTCCACCAGTGCTCCACACTCACTGGACCACAGTACATTTGGTGACAGACAGCTAACTTTCTCTTTCATGCATTATTTTTCTCTGTCCAATTACAGTGAACATGGCCTGCGGCCTCAACACAACTCCAGTGCTTCCATTGGGACCCAATAAAACCATGGTTATTCCCCTATCTTGCCTCAGACCACAAAAGTAAACTTTAATTAAAAAAATGAATTGTCTCCCCAGCCTCTTCTTTTTAACAGGCATTCAAATTGTGAAGGTCTTGAACAAACAGCTCTAATGATAATCACTATGAAATAACATTGGAGGGCTCAGCTGGACTTTCAAAGTCATCTTTAATTTCTCTTTCTCCTTTGCTATCTCTAATTGTCTTGCCTTGTTAACTGCTAACCTGTGAAAAAAGTATCCTCTAGGTGACAATATTGATGGGAAAATAAACTTTGCAAATTGTGTTTTGCATGAACAGTCTCGCTCTTGAAAGTTCTCAAACACCTGCTATGCCCTGAATGATGTCATGATAGAATGGAAAGTGTTTTACAGATAAGGAAACAGATCCTGACAGGTGGGAATTATTACAGTGGCAGAAACAGAAATGAAAATTTTAAAAAAAGAAAAAAAAGAAACGGAAATGACTCAACAGTGACCCCTTCCAGTTTAGTGCCTCTTCTGCATCACAAAGATCACTTATTAAAGCCTAATAAAATAAACCAGTACTTATGTTAATGTTAAAAATTAATTTCTGTTAATAATTTTAAAAGGTGTTGCAAAGAATAACCAAGTATAAAACTCCCTACCAGTTTGATTTTTTTTCTGAAAACACTCCATTTTATATTTTGTGATGGTCTTAGTTTAATTTCTATTATTTCTACCAATTAGAAAAGAGAACATTTAGCATACATCACAGGGTAAAGAAAGCAGAGGAAAAAAAAGTTTAAAAAGGGGGTGGAGGTGCCAGGGAGATGGCTCAGTAGAATAAGCACTTCCCCGGAAAGTGCAAGGGTCTGAGTTCAATCCCAAGTTTCGCAAAAAAAAAAAAAAAAAAAAAAAAAAATCACCAACAGAGTGAAAAGACACCCATAAATTGAGGGAAAAAACTCTGAAACAACAGCACCTGTAGTAAAGAAGCAACTGCAGAAGTGTATAGAGGAAATCAGATCAGAAATAATCACCCAGGTTAAAAAAAA